TGAAAACTAGAAATACATGTCTTTGAAACCTGGATAATTGTAGAAAAGAATAGAATAGAAATAGAAATGAAGTTTTTTTTTACAAAAGAATAAAATGTAATTCTAATGGTATCATTCGGGGCTGGGATTTGCAGGGAGGAAAATTAACAATAAATGAAGATTTAAAGTCAGCAAGAGTATCGTACTAGCAGCTATCTATTTTGATCTAACTAAAAAATGCTGTCCTAAAAATTGATCTCCAGCACGTTTGTCCAAATTAGTATGTCATTATAAAATTGGGTTTTTTTCTCCAAGAAGTTGTAATGTTGATTAACTGCTCATCTGAGTAGTATAGGCATTTCCTCTCCCTTAGAAGTGACTTTTTAAATAATTAACTTTAAATAGAAGGAAATTAAGCTTATAATTATGTCCTTAGGATCAAAGTTCTGATCGTACCAGTCTTTCTTCAGTGGGAGCCCAGGATTCTGAATCTACCTCTTTAACAGATGAAGATGTCTGCCATGAATTGGAAGGAGCCACTTCCTCCCAAGAGAGCAGTGCCACTTCAGGGACTAAGGGAATTGATTTCAGCAGAACAAGCCTGGAAAGTTCTGCCTCCTTAGAAGGTTTGTCCAAACAGTTCTGTTATACTGCATTTGATGTGTGGTACCTTTACTTTTTGCCCTTTATGTTTTAATTTTGTAAAAGATTTGCATGGCTCCCAAGTCAAAATAGTAGAACCAAGGCACTTTCAGAGAAGTCTAGCTTCCATCCCCACTTCATCTTGTTTTCTCCCTGTCCCTAGATGTAACCATTTTTATTAGTTTTGGTTTATCCTTCCATTGTTACTTTTTTAAAAATATGGGGGGGTGGTGTTCTTATTACCTCCTGTCTTCTTACTGAAAAGGTAACATATTGTAAATACTTTCCCACTCCTTGCTTTTTTCACTTAACAGTATATCCTGAAGATCTTTCCAAATCATCACATAGTAATGTCCCTCATTTATTTTTACACTTATATAGTTCATCATGTGTGGATGTATCATAGTTTATTTTAACCACTCCCCTATTGATGGACATTATGAATTCCAGTCTTTGACTATTATAAATAATGCTATGATGCAAATATGTCATATTATATTTTTGCCAGGGTATCTTTGGAATATACTTCACAATTCTTCCTTGAAGTGATATTGCCAAGTTCCCTTCTTTAGGGGTATACTATTTTGCGTTCACACTGGCAATATGTAAGAGTACAATCGTGCGTTGCTTAATGACAGGGATACGTTCCAAGAAGTGCGTCGTTAGGGATTTCCTCCTTGTGCGAACGAACATCATAGAGTGTACTTACGCAAACCTAGATGGTGTAGCCTACTACACACCGAGGCTATATGGTACTAATCTCATGGGACCACCATTGTATATGTGGTCGGTCCATCATTGACTGAAATGTTGTTTTGCGGCGTATGACTGTAACTATTTCCCCCACGGCTTTGTCAACAAAATATGTTGGCAAACTTGGATTTTTGCCATCTGAGAGGTGAGGAATGCATTTCAGTTTAGTTTTCATTTATATTTCTCTTGTAAATGAAGTCGAGTATCTGCTTATATGCTTAAGGACTATTTGCATATCTTTTTCTGTGGACTGTCCTTTGCCTACATTTTGCTTATTGGTCCTTATTTTTTTTTAGTTTTAATAGCTCTTTTTTATATTAAGGAATCAATCTTTTGTCTCTTATGTAAGTGGCAAATACTTTTTCCAAGTTTGTCAAGTTTATTTTGTTTTGTTTTTGCCAAACAAAAGCTTTTAATTTTATGTCATCAAATGTATCGTTTTTTCCTCTATTGCTTCTGGATTTTGAGTCATTAGGAAAGATTTCCCCTTCCCTAGGTTCACCAGTGTTTTCTTCTGATAATTCTCCGGTTTCCTTTTTAACACTTTCTGAGGTCAGCAAACTTTTTCTATAAAGGACCATATCATAAATATTTTAGAATACATCTCTGTCACATATTCTTTTTTGTCTTTTTCTTTTTTTAACAATGCTTTCAGATGTAAAAAACCATTCTTAGCTTGTGGCCAAACAAAAATAGATTTTGACTCCTCATTTAGATATTTAATCCATTTGAAATGTATCCTATTTTGTGAGGAATGGATACAATATAATATTTTTTCATTTGTACCTTTGCTATTTTAAAAGTTTTTATTGTGGAAATCTTCAAACATACACAAAAGTAGAAGGAATAACACAATGAACCCCCAAATACCCATCACCTAACTTCAACAATTGCCAACAAATGGCCAATCTTGCATCTTTTCCTCTCTCTCCTTTGCTGCCAACATTTTTCCTTCCCCACTGGATTATTTTAAAGTAAATCCCAGACAACTTATAATTTTATTCATAAATATTTCAATCTGTATCTCTAAAATATAAGGACTTTGATGTTATATATTTTTTAACTTTTTATTAAAGTTATTTATTTAATAAATTTATTTTTTATATTACTATATGTTATACATATAATGTGAACACTTTTATGTACGTAAATATATTTCACAAATTGAACACACCTGAGTAACCAGCACTCAAGTCAAGAAACAACATTAACAGCATCCAGAACTTCCTCTCATGCCCACGTCTAGTCACTACTCCCTTCACAGATAGATATTACCTTAACTTCTAACACTCTCTGTTAGCATGACCAGTTTTGACCATTTTATGGGCTCATACAGTATGTATCTTTTGTGAAGCATTCATTTTTTGAAAACATAATTGTAATACCATTATCACATTTTTTAAAATGTGACAATATTTATCATATAATGTCTTATATAAAATATTTATTTAGTTTAAATTTTCACATTATCTCATAAAGCTCTTTTTATAGGTAGTTTGTTCAAATTGGGATTTAAACAAGGTCCACTTGGTGCATTTGGTTGATATGTCTGTTAACTCCCTTTTATCTTTGTTCCCTCTCTTTTTTCCCCCCATCATATATTCAAGAAGAAATCAAGTGATTAGTTCCCCTCCCTCCTTTTTTTTTTTTAACACACAAGAACGGTTTGTTGTGCTAAGCAAATAAAACTTACCTCACAACCTGATTCATATTTATTAAAATGAATATTTATTCTGTGCTGTAGATTAATTAGATGCAAAAGGTAGGCTGCCCACATATGATTGAATTGGTCAAGGCTAATAGAAGGTATTAGAAAGCAGTTTTGAACTAGCTTTAGCAGAGAGGGATTATGGAAGGTTACTGGGGAAACAGCAAGGACAGAACTGCGGTTGCCACCAGCTCTAAGCATCTTCAAGGATGATGTGAGGCTCAGCTCTCTCCCTGCCGCTCTCCATCTCTGCCGCTCTCCATCTCTGTGCAGCAGGGCCGAGGGCCATTGGTAGCTCTGGAGCTGCCTTTTTTTCCCCTTGTCATGTGTTTTCTGAAGCAGTCAGGTCGTTAGTCTGTATTATGCTGATTGCATCCCCATAGTGGTGGTGAATGTTTTCTTATCCTCTATTTCTTGTGAACTGGTAGTTTACACAATTACTTTTTTTTGACCTTTATATTTATAAAAATACCAGTATTCATTCATAAAATTTAGTAACTACTGGGGAAAAAATAGAGAGAGAAGATATAGATTACCTCCAGTTTTACTAACAAAATATAGCCACTGTCAACAATTGATTTTACCACAGGACTCCCCTTACCTTTTGCTGCTGTTGTTGTTTCAATACCTACCAATATCCCATTGCTCTTAAGAATATACTTGGAAACTCTTCCCTAGAGTTTAAGAGCAAGATTACTGTACCAGATCTTAAAAAGATCCTTTTAAGGCAGAGAATTGCCATTAAATTTTTTCATGATTTCAAATAAGATTAACTGTTTTACACTTTTTAGACCTTAGAACTAAACACTTTCTCGTATTTTAAGCATGGAAAAATAGAAAGAGCAAAATAGTAATTACAAACAACTGGAATGCCTTCTAGCCTGTACATACAAAGTGCTTAATAAGTGAGTAATGCATGAACACACCTAACACGTGGGAATCAGTAGAATTAGAGCACATTTCCTTAGATTTGTACTCAAAACAAAAATGCATGCATTGAGAAACATTTTTTCTTTATTTGTTTTTTCTTAAATTACTTTTAATATTTTCAATAGAACAGTTTGACATTTTATCAAAGAATTTATGAAAGTGAAAGATTCTGATATCCTTTCTCATTAATTTTCATGGTTTTGCTCTTGTTTTTTAATAATGAACAGGATCTCTGTCAAAGTTTGCCTTACCTGGAAAATCAGAAGTGGCATCTTCCTACAACACGAATAATACAAATATCTTCCAGAACTATGCAATGGAGGTACAATTTTAAGCAAAACAGCATCTTCATTTACTACTTTATAAAATTTACATTTCTTATGTATTGACGATCTCGAGTAGAGTAATAAAAAGTTGAATATATAGCATCTGATAAACTTCAAATATATATTGCATCTGATAAACTTAAAATCCAGTTTTGGGATATCTAGTATTTCAGATTATTGAAGTCATACTACTTTATATCTGTTTAGAACAGTTCCATGCTTCCTTTGAGATTTATCAATATACAAAAGCATTTTCATTTATAATATTTATATTTATCCCTTGTTATATGTAAGTTCTCTTAGAATTTTTATTTCACATCTTAAAAACGACCAATATTGCTAGGCAAGCACCGTTTTTGATGAGGGTACAGGGAGAGTTCTGGCATTTGTGTCAACTTTTTCCATCATGTTTTTCATTCTTTGTATCAGTTTGTGGTAGATATCTGCTGGATATGCTGCTATATCCCCTTTTCTTACAGTGAAAAAGTTGTACTTTTACATTTTAAAAAATTTACCTAATTTTTGTGTAAAAATTGCTTCCAAATACATTTGTGAGTGTTGTTGCTAGTTCATGCTAATTTGCATAAATTTGGAAAATAAATTTGCATACAGGAAAACAAATGATGAGCACTGATGTTGCAAGTTACAAAGTTTCTGATGGTTTCAAGAATTTCTATATTTTATTAATGTAATGACAGCATTGACATTTATCTACAGTAGTGCTTCTCAAACTGTCTGTAGTGACAGACCAGGTTTTTTTGTTGTTGTTTTAATTTCCAAACTGTCATGGCTGATACTCGCGTGTAAAATGTATTGAATACACATTTAGATGTTGCAGCAATGACAAATTACTTTAAAAGTTTCTAAATCCTCTTCTCAATTTCTTTCTTTATCTCATCACAAACTAGTAAAAGTTTGTGGATCAGTGCTTGTCTGGTGACCACACTTTGAGTAGCACAGATCTATAATATGTAATTACAAATACCTATTTTGGGTATTAACAAATTAATGCTTGGGTATATTTTTCCATTAATAAAACCATGGCAGATTTTATAGTAATTGTACTGATTAAAATGCTCACTTAAATGCAGCTTTTTCTTTCAGGCAAAAATTTTCGAATAGGTTTAGCTGAAATAGTTAAAGATGAGTATATTATATAATGCACTGAATGTAATCCATTTTTTTTGTTTGTAACTTCTGAATCCTTCTGAGTTTTAATTTTCCAATGGATTTATGAATTGAAATGGTTTTTAATTCATAATATGCACTGACAGGCTTACTTTATAAAGAACTGTTTTCTCCCATAGGTTCTCATCTCAAGTTGCTCTCGGTGTAGAACTTGTGATTGTCTTGTCCATGATGAGGAAATCATGGCTGGCTGGACAGCAGATGATTCAAATCTCAATACTACATGCCCATTTTGTGGCAATCTTTTCTTGCCTTTTCTGAATATTGAAATAAGAGATTTAAGACGACCTGGAAGGTGATGATTTATGTTTTTTTTCCCCTTCATGTTTAAGGATCATATTTCCTAGAATATCTCTTTTCTCAAAAAGCGTGTGTGATTCACATTACAGATACTTTTTGAAGTCAAGCCCATCTACAGAAAATATGCATTTTCCATCCTCCTTTTCAAGTCAGACAAGACAGTCTTGTATCTCAACATCAGCCTCTGGTCTTGACACATCTGTTATCTCTGTTCAAGGGAATTTTGATCTAAATAGGTAAGTATGGTAATGCGGAACTATATTTTAATGACATATGTTACACATGTTTCAGATAATAACAGAAAAATTAGCTGACCATTTTAAGGTTTAAATTTCTACATATAATAGATTCATAATGTTAAATTCTTACTACTAATTAAAACAATATTAAAATTCTCTAGAAACCTCAATGTTTAAACAGTTATGTTTATGTGTTATGAATCCCCAGAGTTTAAGCTGTATAATTCATGTATGATAATGTTTACTAGTATTTTAAAGGTAAAAATTCTGTAGAACACTTGAAGTTTATAATGAGCATCTTTCTCTTATCTCTATCCCTTCAGGAATTAAGTCAGTACTAACTTAATTATACTTTGTAATATTTAATTTTCTACTTAGGAATATTTAATCATCTAAGAAAACATTTGGAGCTGATAGAGGAACTATAAAATTAAACTTATACAGAAAGCCTAATATAAGTAAATCTACGCTTAAAGCAAATGTAGAAATCAACTCCATTTTGGAGAAGTGCCGTATTGGTAACTGCATGTGCAGAAGAAAATGCCTCCATAGTACTGGCAGGCTAATTTGACCTGTTTAATCCTGAATGCTTGTCTGTGTGTGCACCTTCTGTCATCATAGGTCTATTGTAGCCCTTTCTTTGACTGTCTCCCACTAGCTTATGACTCCTGAAGGAATAGCATGCCTATTTTCTCTTTTCTCTGCCTTATATCCTCTGGGCCTAGTGTGGTTTCTGCTGTATAAAAGTTGTTCACTAAATGTTTTGAATAAGTGAATGACTCTTGAATATTTAAAGTTCACTTGATAAAACGGAAATCTTATATGACTAGACTACTTAAAAACATATCCTATTTCCCAGCTGAAGCCTGAGTAACATCTTTCCTTTGATTTACTTTGGTATGTCCAGCTCTGATTCTAAAGGGAAGAACATGGTCTTTCTAGATGAAATAAATTAAATCTAGACAATGATATGCTTTTTCTTTTTTAATTCCCAAGCAAATCTAAGCTGCTGGAAAATTCATGTGCCCGAAGTATTCAGATTCCTGCTGATAGATCAAAAACAGCTGTGTCAAAATGTCCAATATTTCCAATGGCCAGGAGTGTTAGTACTTATGGCCCCTTAGATAAGGAAGACACTGGAGGGCAGAAGCTCATTCCCACAGGCAGCCTGCCAGCTACTTTACAAGGAGCTACAGTATGTATTTTCGTGTTTTTTTAAATTTGCACTTGGATAGTTCACCTGTGATTTTGTTCCCCTTGTCCTAAACAGCCTTCTTAGCTTCAATTTTATTATTGTCAAGCAGAGTCTCTTGTCCCATGATACAATTATAGTACCTTTCTATTATATGGAAATCATTGACAGGAATTTTTTAAAAATGATTTAGTATCATCAATTTCTATTTGTCATTATGGTTTTTATTTATTCAACAGGATTCTTTAGGATTAGAATGGCACCTGCCAAGTCCAGATCCTATCACTGTTCCATATCTTAGTCCTTTAGTGGTGTGGAAGGAACTCGAAAGCTTATTGGAAAATGAAGGCGATCGTGCGATAACAGTGGCAGATTTTGTGGACCATCATCCAATTGTTTTTTGGAACCTTGTGTGGTATTTTAGACGTCTTGACTTACCCAGTAACTTACCTGGATTGATTCTTTCTTCTGAGCATTGTAACAAATATTCAAAGGTATGAGAGTAAAAATTAACTAAAAGGCAGTGCTACTGTCACCATTGTAATGTTTGCATATTCCTAATGACAGAATAGTAATTTCTATGCAAAGTATTTTTAATAACCATCTGAATCATTAGATCAATACAATTGCTTTAGTTGCATTTACAAATAATTTTTCTTCTTATAGTCTAGCAGTAAGACAAAGTCATGTTTTTTAGCCTTCTGTAAAATTTACACAAAATGTTCTTAAATTTTTGTTATAACCTCAACAATAAACTGTAAATGACTCTTATGAGAAGAGTTTGTCAGTTGGCCCCATTCAAGTCTCATACCTGCTTAAGAAACAAGCCTAACACTTCTTTAGGAGGATGTCTGTAATTCATATTGCAGTCATGTGCTGCCATTCTCTTCATTCCTTTACTCTGAATTCTTGCTTAACATTTTAGGTAATTAGTTTGTTATATGTTCACTTACATTTCTGATATGTTGTTCTGTAAAGGTGTTTTTACTTTTTCATATGTTATCACCACCACTGAGTTGCAAAGTCTCTAAATTCAGGAACCTTGTATTCTCCCTTCTCGTACTTCGTGTCTGTGATTGTGCATGTGCTTCTTCAGTCCATGATGAATGAGTGACCAAGAGGTTAACTCAGTCAGAGTTACCTGGGCTAGGGTCTTAGACTGATGTAGAGCGGGGATCCTGGGTTCATCTTTCTGTGGACCCTCAACCATAAGCTGGTCAATATTAGCCCTTCATGGTACCCTTCCTCACTGATCTCAGTACTTTGTTATATCTGCTACTTTAGAGATCATTAGCTTAACTCAACCCATCTTCTCAGTAGATATAAAATGCATACAAACCAGTCATTTTCTGTTCTCTCTTCTCTCTTGCATACATACATTCTAAAAAATATTTATGAATATCTTTATAAAATATTTACAAAACATTATCATGTAAAGATCATTAATAAATATTTGTTTATTCTTCAACACAGATTCCCCGCCACTGTATGTCTGAAGATAGTAAATATGTTTTAATACAAATGTTATGGGACAATATGAAATTACATCAGGATCCAGGACAGCCCTTGTACATCCTCTGGAATGCCCACAGTAAGTGCTATCATAGAATGCTGACTTCATTCATATGAGAGTAATCTCTACTTGCTTTAACTAGCGTAAACTAATATATAACTGACTTTTACTTTACTATACCACTTTTTGTCTTACAGGTCAAAATCGTACTCTTTTGTTTGAGAGTGAGTGTTAAGTTTAAATTTTTAGTGCTACCTTCTATGGAGGTCATGATTGTTTTTGGTTTTTTGTTTTTGTTTTTGTGAGGGGTGCCGTGTATGTGCTGGAGGGGTTTTGTTTTATAGAGTTCTGCTTTCAGCACACTGCTTGTCCCAATTTCTTCTTTTTACTTATTTTTTGTTTGTTTCCATCCCAGGCTGCTGATTTAGAATTTCCTCCAGGGGCTGTATTAAGGAAAGCAATATTTTTAGTTATAGTCTATTTGAGGCTACAAAAAACTGTAGGCCTATTTTTTATCATTATTTGTCTTACTTTTTCCTTTTTTTTCTTTCTTCATTCTTAGATTTCTGTTCCTTTATCTATTGCCCTTAATTTATTTTTAGTGCTTTGTAACTTCTTTAATAGCTATCAGTTGCTGCTTAATTATATTCTCCTTTCTACTTAGAACATTTTTCTTTATCTGCTCTTTTATTCTTTTACAGCCCAAAAGTATCCAATGGTCCATTTATTGCAAAAGGGTGATAATTCATTTAACCAGGAACTATTGAAAAATATGGTAAAAAGCATTAAAATGAATGATGTCTATGGACCAATGAGTCAGATTTTAGAGACACTGAATAAATGTCCTCATTTTAAAAGACAGAGGTAAGTCATTCTCTTAAATGAATGCGTTGTTCCTGGAAGCAGATTAATATTTGTTAGAATATCTCATGCTTATGATAGCATAAGAATTTTTGTAGACAATATGCAGACTCTATCGATAGTAATATTTTCTCCACTCCTTTTCTCCCCTAGGAGTTTATATAGAGAAATACTATTTCTCTCACTTGTGGCACTGGGAAGAGAAAACATTGATATAGGTAATTCAGTATAATATATAACATGTAATATTTATATATCATGGTATAGTTTTCAAAATTTTTTTATACTGGTAGTCCTTATTATTAATATTAAATTATATTAATATATTAGAAGAATTGTTTCTTTGATTTTTTTGATGTAATGTAAAAGATATTTGATATTTTGGTCATATTAATAACAATAATGGTAAATAATAAAAGCTAACATTTTTGAGGGCTTACTGTGTGCCTTACATTATAGCAAATACTTTCCATGTATTACCTCATATAATTCTCCCAAAAGCCCTATGAGATAGGTACTGTTATCATTTCCATATTATTATTGAGGTGACTAGGGATCCAAGAAGTTTAGTAACTTCAACTTAGATTTCACAGTAAATAACAGAGCTATATTTAAACCAAGCAGTCTTAATTTCCAGTCCAGTGCTTTTAACTATTGTGTCATATCATTAATGACATTAAGCTGTTTCAGAAGGGATATAAGATAGCTAATTATGTATTTTAGGAGGTCCCAGACTTTTTTGGTTGATCATCTCCTTTTCCCAGTTATTGTGCTTGGCCTCCTTAAAGTTTCCATTACCAAGTCCTAAGAAAGGGCAGAAAGAACCCCTGGTCGACAAAAAGAAGAAAATTGGTGGCTATCAGGCATTGAGAGACTCAAGCATAGTTTTGGCATTCTGTCTAAGAATTTATAATGTGAATAAATTGATAAAAATGATAATTTATACATATAATTCATCTGACTTGAGTGGTTTCTGACTTGGGTGCCCTACGTAAGCCTACTCACCAGTTAATAAGAGAATATGTAATAGGCCCTACTTCTTTTAGGTGACTGTGTACTGTCTTAACAGAAACATACCTAGTTCTTTAGCACTAGTCCACACTTCAGTTGACTTTTAGATTCTATTTATTTTATTTTTCCCCCCAAAGCCCCAGTGGATAGTTGTGTGTCGTAGCTGCACATCCTTCTAGTTGCTGTATGTGGGACTCGGCCTCAGGATGAACGGAGAAGTGGTGCCTCGATGCGCACCCGGGATCCGAACCCGGGCCACCAGCATCGCAGCGCGCACACTTAACCACCAAGCCACAGGGCCGGCCCTCAGTTGACTTTTAAAGTGCCCGTGACATTTGCCATAGCCATTTATTAGTGTCATCAGACTCAAAATGATGATGATGTATAATAAGCTTATGCACTATTACAGGTTGCTCAATCAGGCCACATGGAGCATGCATAGAGAACAAGGGCTCTCCCTGTGGTGCTGGCTTCCCAACAAGTTCACTGAAGGATGGGAGAGAGAGCAAGACTTAGTGAGTGAAGTAGAGGGCTAAGAGCAGCCATCCCTAACTGGCTATCTCAAGGGGTTATCAGGTGCCATCTGACCAAAGGTGACTTGTGCCACTGGGAATTGTCAGCCTCGATGCCAGGAGAGAAATGTAGAATTTGGCAGCAAAGAAATGTATGGGTGAAATGGTAAACATCTTACAGAATGGAATTATTAGATGGGTGTGATATTTTAAATAAAACCAACACTTAAAGAACGAAGAGACTAATTTAGTTAGAAAGAAAATAACTCTCCTCATTTAGAACATAGGAGTGGGAAATTGGCCTTTCACTGAAATGGCCTTTAAAAATTTAGGTAGAAATCTAAGCCAAATAGAGACTAGTGTGTAGTATCTTTGTTTGGAAAACAAAGTATGACCCAGATAAATATAACCAGAGAACATTGTAGTCAGAAGTCACATTAAATTATTGATTACCCAGTTGAAACAACAAAGTTGGAAAAATTTGGAAAATTCCCAATAGAAAAGTAAAACTTATTTAGAATTAAGGAATATTTGATGGAGAAGGCTAAAGGAAATGTAACTGTGTTTAACCTATAATTTTGTTTGTAAACAAATATTATGAATGTGTTGAGCTGCCCTTTCCATTAAAAAGAGGAAAAGAATAGATGGGTTCAAATAGCAGCCAGGAGCTTTTGAGCAGAATGTTGTGAATATTTGTTTTTTCACCTTAATGGTTGTGAAACACTGAAGACTATTAAAAATAAGAAACTTGACAAATGATTCTAATGTTCAACTGGAAAAATAATCATGCATGAATAGCCAGGAATCAAAAATACATGGTAAAAGAAACAACAAGAGCATTAAAATGGTACATTAGAAAATACCTAGTTAACTCAAAAGAAGGCAGTAATGGAGGAATTGAGGATCAAAAGAAGGCAGTAATGGAAGAATTGAGGACCGTAAAAAGACAACAAATAGAAAACAAATAACAAAATTGCAGTTGTAAATTCTGCCTTATCAGTAATTACGTTAACTGCCAATGGATTAAACTCTTCAATTAAAAGGCAGATTAAGGGGCTGGCCCGATGGTGTAGTGGTTAGGTTCGCACGCTCCACTTCAGAGGCCCGTGGTTCGCAGGTTCGAATCCCAGGCTTGGACCTATGCACTGCTTATCGAGCTATGCTGCGGCAGGCATCCCACGTATAAAGTAGAGGAAGATGGGCACGGATGTTAGCCCAGGGCCAATCTTCCTCAAGCAAAAAGAGGAGAATTGGCAATGGATGTTAGCTCAGGGCTTATCTTCCTCACACACACACACACACACACACACACACACAAAAAGGCAGATTTGCAGAGTAAAGATTAAAAAAAAAAACAAACACAATCCAACTATACTATATACAGAAGACACACTTTAGATTCAGAGACACAAATAGGTTGAAAGTAAAAGGATTGAAGAAGATATTCCATGCAAATACTACTAAAAAGAGGGCTGGAGTGACTATACTGATATCAGACAAAATAGACTTTAAGACAAAAACTGTTACGAGAGACAAACAAAGGACATTTTATAATGATAAAACAGTCAATCTACCAAGAATTATTGTTTATAACAATTATAACATATATGCACCTAACAACAGAGCTCCAAAATATATGAAGGAAAAACTAACAGAATTAGGGAGAAATAGACACTCAACCATAATAGTTGGGTATTTCCATACTCCACTTTCATAATGGATAGAACAACTAGACAGCAAGGAAGTAGAAGACTTGAACAACACTGTGAACTAACTAGACATAAGAAATATCTACAGAACACTCCATCCAACAACAACAGAATACTATTCTTCTCCACATGAAATATTGTCCAGGATAAACCATATGTTAGGCCATAATGCAAGTCTCAATAAATTTAAAAGGATTGAAATCATACAAAATATGTTCTGTAACCACAGTAGAATGAAATTAGAAATCAATAACAGAAGGAAAATAAGGAATTCACAAGTATGCAGAAATTAAACAACACACTCCTAAATAGTGAATGGGTCAAAGAAGTCATAATGGAAATTAGAAAATACTTTGAGATGAATGAAAATGAAAACACAACATACCAAAATTTTGAGATGCAGTGAAAGCAGTGCTCAGAGGGAAACTTACAGCTATAAACACCTACATAACTACCTTAAGAAATTAGAAAAAGAAGAGCAAACTAAACCCAAAGCAAGCAGAAGGAAATAAATAATAAATTTAGAGCAGAAATAAATGAAATAGAAAATAGGGAAGAATTATTTTTGAAAATAGAGAAACTTATTGAAATCAAAAGTTGTTTCTTTGAAAAGATCAACAAAATTAACAGACCTTTAGCTAGACTGACTAAGAGAAAAAGAGAGAAAACTCAAATTACTAAAATCAGGAATGAAAGAGGGATATTACTACTGACCTTACAGAAATGAAAATAATTATAAGGGAATACAATAAATAATTATATGCCAACAAATTAGATAATTTAGAGGAGATAGCAAATTCCTAGAAAGACATAAACTACAAAACTGGCTCAAAAATAGAAAATCTTAGTAGACCTATAACAAGTAAAGAGATTGAGTTAGTAATCAAAATGCTTCCCACAAAGAAAAGCCCAGGACCAGATGGTGAATTCTACCAAATATTTAAAGAAGGATTAACACCAACTGTTATGGACTGCATGTTTGTGTACTTTGCCCAGATTCATGTGTTGAAGCCCTAATGTGATGGTATTTGGAAGCAGGATCTTTGGGAAGTAATTACATCATGAGCATGGAGCCCCCATGATGGGATTCATATCTGTATAAGAAGAAGAAGAGAGCTATCCCTTTCTCTCAGCCTTGCGAGGATACAGGGAGAAGTTGGCTGTCTGTGAATCAGCAAGAGCGTTCTCACCAGATACCAGATCTACCGGTACCTTGGTCTTGGCTTCCCAGCCTCCAGCCTGTGAGAAATAAATATTTATCATTTTAGCCACCCAGTCTATGATATTCTGTTATAGCAGCCTGAACTAAGATACTAATCCTTCACAAACACTTACAAAAATACAGAAGAAAAAGAAATACTTCCTAACTCATTCTGCGAGGCCAGTATTATCCTGACCAAACCCAGACAAAGACTTCACAAGAAAAGAAAACTACAGAGCAATATTAATATTGCTTATTCATATAGACACAAAAATCCTCAACAAAATACTAGCAAATGAAATCCAACAACATATACAAAGGATTTATGCCATGACCAAGTGGGGTTTATCCCAGGAATGCAAGGTTGGTTCAACATACAAAACTCAATATAATATACCATATTAATAGAATAAAAAACAAAAACTACCTGATATCTCAATAGATGCAGAAAAAGCATTTTTCAAAATTCAACAAACTAGGAATAGAAGGGAACATCCCCAACCTGATAAAGGGCATTTATGAAAAGCCCACAATTAACACCAAACTCAATGGTCAAAAATAGAAAGCTTTCACCTTAAGATCAGGAACAAGGCAAGGATGCCTGCTTTCACCACTTGTGTTCAACATTGTACTGAAGTTCTGGCCAGAGCAGCTAGGCAAGAAAAAGAATAAAAGGCGGCATCCAAATTGGAAAGGAAGAAATAAAACTCTCTCTAGTCGTAGATGACAAGATCTTATATATATAGAAAACCCTAGAGATTCTACATCAAAAAAAACCCAGACTATTAGAGTTAATAAATGAGTTCAGCAAGATTGCAGGATATAAGATCAAGATACAAAAATAAGTTATCTTTCTGTAACTAGCCATGAATAATCCAAAAGTGAAATTAAGAAAGCAGTTCCATTTACAATAGCATCAAAAAGAATAAAACACTTTCCACCAGCTGGGAGAAAATATTTGCAAAACATATATCTGACAAGGGCTTAATCTCCATAATATAT